ATACCGTCCGAAGGAGGACCACCACGCTAGAGCCATAACTACCATCTCCAAAGGCAAGTTATTCTGTTTCTTCACTTTCTCTCACTTGTTCATGATATCCCAATACAACTTTTACCCTGTTGAATGTAAATCTTCCATTGAATCACCAATTTCACCCCTTTTGATTCGAGATGAAGTTGAAGATAATAAGGATGGGGTTAGGCGATGAGAACTCTACGACAGAAGGAGAGAAGGACAGAGGGGGGGGGGGGGAGGGGTTTCGGTTGGATGAGTGAAAGAAAGCGAGGGAGGAAGATGACAGAGAAGGAGGCGCTGCCTCGTTGTTGTTTAGGGTTTACAAACCCTTCTACAACTTTGAAGAAAAAGGGCTGGACCCAGGTCTGGCCCGACCCGGTCCAAGCCCAACCCACCTTTTTTTAAATAAAAAAAACAACATTTACTTTTTTGTACAATACAATCTTTTTTTTTATTCTTTGGGCTTTGTTGTTTCAAAATTTCTAAGCCCAATCTGATTTCTATTTCATACCCCAACATACTGCTTTACACCCTTGTTTAAATTATGTTTAGCTCTTTATCAATGTTCTTAATTTTTATCTATTTATTTTTCATCAACTTAGTTAGTAAAATTAATTAAATAATTATGTTTTAGTTAACTAGAAATTTTTTAGTTTAGTTCCATAATTAATTTAATAACTCTATTAGTTTAGATTTAGTTTTAAATTTTAAAAATCCAATTAAATAAAAGAAATATAATTTTAAAATTAGTTAATTTTCGTAATTAATTTAGTTTAGGACTTTGTAAATAATTTTACTAATTATTTTGTGCTTAAGCTTTAATTTGTTCATTTAATTTCTAAATAACAAAAATCCTAAAAGACAAAAAATACATGTTAATTAATAGAATAGATTTTTCTATTTTTCTTTCCAAACTTTTCAAACAAATAACAAGAATTTTATTTCCATACTTTGTTAATTAATTTTATTTCATAGACTGTTATGATTTTAATTAATCATTCAATTCGATTTGGTTGTATTGATTGCCTATTTGGACTTTTAATCGCATTCGACTCATCTCTATTTATAAAAATTGTACCCCCATTCCCGAAAACTCTTTAATAGCGTAAATTTCAATTTCTGCAATTTACTGTTTTCCTTATACTACATAGTAATTAGGCGTGTATGGCAAGATCTAAAATCAATCGATAGATAACCTAATTTTAAAGATAAAATAACTTGAATCAAACACACTTTCTCACACACCTCTAGGGTAACCTTGCTTGTTGCCTCGGAAACACAGTCATGTCCCTTGAATATGGAACGCTTTAGCAAAGACCCTTCGATAAAAAATATTGTAGTCCCACGATGGTCCTCAATGGTTGTTGTGGGAGCTCATTTTTTGCTCAGATGTCTTGATCTGGAGCGATTTGTGCTTTATGTGGTGAAGGTGGTTCATATTTTTCACCCTTCAGTTTGACATATTTTACTGTTGACATACATAAGTCTGACTCATTTAATATTATCATTAATTTTGAATCCATATTTTTTCCCTCACCTAGTTACGTTTTCAAATATATTGAAAATTGTCTTAATGTTATATTTCAGGAGTTCGAGCCAATAATACAGAAGCCTTATACTATTGTTTATTCTCATTCTGCCGCATCTCTACAAGTGTAAGTGTTAATAATGGACTTGTAGGATTTAAGACTGGTTTGTTCTTTTATGCTAAAAATGAAGGTATGAAATATGCCAACAGTTGTCTTTGAAAAAATACTTGGGATGTTTGAGAGAAATCGGCTAACTTAACCTTAATTAGGGCATTTAGTTATATTATATGTTTTGTTGGGTTACTTAAATAAAAAAAATATTTTCATTTCTAAAATTAATTAAGTTCACCTTTTATTCAATCAGAAATATGAGAACTAGAAATTCAACTTTCGATGTATGGCCGTATATAGCATTTTATGTAATTGTCAAACATCTCACATTATCGGTAGTACTTAGTACTTATACAGACACTGAACTCAACACTGACACAAACATGTAAACAACAGTAATAATTTGAATAAATATAAATGATCGAACTAACAACACATGTTGGTGTCTGACATTGACACGTGTTAGACATTTGATACACCATCAATCTAAAGTCTCGGTGCTAAGTAGTTTATAAGTAACTTCTATAATATGTAGCTCTAAATTTTGTGCAATGCTTACGAAGTAGTATGGTTTCCTAGAGATCAGCTGTCACCCTTCTCCATCCTATTTTTGTATGCACAGGCAACCAGACCTAGGTTGGATGAAAAGATTACAACAAATACTTGGACGGAAGCACCAGCAAAACCTACATGTAAGCAGTATTTATGCTTTTCCGATGTAGTACCGTTAGAACTTTGTAGTCTTTGTTCTGATCTCACAGTCTGATATGTCCAGGCAATATATATTCTTCACCCAACATTAGGACTTAAAGTTACAGTATTAGCTCTACAGTTACTGGTGGACAATGTGGTATCTTAGGAAAATCAAATTCTTTTAGTTGATTTATCCCTATTTGAGAACATCCTAATTGTGTTATTTCGTTGGTGTTTAATTTCTAGGTTTGGAAGAAAGTGGTATATGTTGATAGACTTCTGCAGCTCTTCAGATACGTACCGCGTGAGCAGTTTACAATTCCAGATTTTGTGTTTCAGTTGAGTCTTAATGTTTTCATTTGTTGTGTTTGTTTCTCATAAAGTTATTCCATGAAACGTTTGTAAATGTAGTTTAATTTAGCAAAATTATTTAATATTTTAAAAATCATGTTTAAAAATATATAACAAATAAATCTTTAATATTTTTCAAGATCTATGATACGATAAATTAATGTTATTTAAAGTTTATTAATATAATGTCTTGATTCACCGTATCTTTTAATAATATTAATATTTATAAAAGGTTTTTCTTAAAAAGATATAATATTTAAATCAAATTTTTTTTAGAAACTATTTAAATTTTTATTTTATTTAACGATATTTAAAAAAAAAAAGATATTTTATATAGTTTTTTGCCAAATATATGTAATGCTATTAAGGTTATATTTAAATTAAATAAATAGATTAACTAATATGTATATTTTATTCATCCCCTCATTGTAAGAATATCATTATAAATAGCAAATGAATTTTACTATTCTCTTATCTCACATCCAATTTCAAAAGATGAAGATGATTCACATTATTCTCTTCTTTGTTGGTCTTCTCTCATCATGTATCCCAAATGTTATTTCTGTTAACAATGATTTTTGCGTAGCAGATTTATCGCTTCCAAAAACTCGTCTAGGGTATCAATGCAAGTCAGAAAAAGATGTAACAGTTGATGATTTTGTCTTCTCTGGCTACGTAGCTGGAAATGCAACAAAACCTTTTAATACTGGAACAACCTTTGTAAATGTAGATAGATTACCTGGTCTTAATGGACTTGGTATAGCTACATTAAGAGGGGACATTGGTATAAATGGAACAGTACCATTGCACTCTCATCCTGATGCAACAGAATTAGTTATCATTGTTGAAGGTCAAGTGAATGTTGGATTTATCACTCCAACAAAAGTATTTTTGAAAGATTCTAAACCCGGTGATGTTATAGCTATTCCAAAAGGACAGTTGCATTTTCTAGCAAATTCTGGTGCTGGAAAAGCTATCTTCTTTGCAGCTTTTAGTAGCTCAGATCCTAGCACGCACGTACTTGATTTGGTACTATTTGGCAACGATTTATCAACTTCTGTAATTTCAAAGACTACGTTACTTGATGTAGCACAGATTCAGAAGCTTAAGGCTGCGTTTGGCGGCAAGAATTAGAATTGCTTACTTCTTTTAAAATAATTATGTTATGTGAGGAATAATTCTAGATAAGTGTATGCTTCTTAATAATTTTAAATATTCTATCAATGTTTTTTACCCGTGATTTTCATGGCATCGAGACTCAATTTCTTTATCATTTTAATAAAGTTTAATTTAAAGAATTTCTTGCTCGTATCATTAGGGATTATGAGCCCATAATGACAAAATGCTGTTTTTTTAGATCATTTTAGGCTTATTGCTTGTCCAGCTTCAAACATAAAATAATAGCTAAGATATTAGATGATAGAATGACTACCATGCTTCCAACTTTAATATCTCCACAACAAAAATGTTTTGTTAATTGATGGGACATAAGGGATTCCATCTTCCTCACTTATGACTGTTGAAAGGATTTGAATCTTGATTGGTCACCCTAAGGGGGTTTGGTCTAGTCCTCCCTTATTTCTTGTTCTTTGTTTTCTCTTTGGTTTTATTTGATTATGGTTTTTTTAAAACTATGTTATTGATAATTTTTATCATGTGTTATCTTATGCTTTATATTGTTTTATTCTTAATATTATTTTCTTTTTCACGATGGGCCAATAGCTTATTTTTGATAATTTTTAATTTGTAATTTTTATGATGTTTAATTCCTAACTTGTTTTCATTCGTGTTATCTTATGTCTTATAAAGTTTTATTATTTCTCTTCATAATATTACTTTCTTTTTTACGATGGATTATGGACTGGGATAATTTTGATATATATTTTTCCCAACCGATGATGAGTTTCTCTGTAAGTAATATAATATTGTAATTTTTTCTCTGTAATCTCTCATAAGTGAGTTCTGAATAAAATTCAATGTGATTTTGATCTCTGTAATATCTCCCAAGTGTTTGGCATAATTATCAACAGGATTAAAGTTGTATTTGACTTGTATGCTGACTGTATTAGCAAGAGTGGAGTGGAAGAAAAATCAGAAACAGTAGTGAATAAATAAATAGTGGCTAAATTGCACGCTGTTTATATAATATCAACATCAATGATTGCAAATTTGTACTAAAGTATGAGAACAAGTCGCATAGAAGCATGTTGTGTTAATTGTCACTTTATAAATAGCCTCCTCAACACCATAGTTACTCAAACTATAAACAGCTCAATTTTAGTAACACATTTGATTGTGAAAATGTCTAAATTGGCAAATTCAGTTTCATTCTTCTCCATGATACTATTAGCATTAGCATATGGTTCAAATGCTGGCAGCATAGCAATCTATTGGGGTCAAAATGGTAACGAAGGCACCCTTGCACAAACATGCGCCACAGGAAACTATGAGTTTGTTATCTTAGCCTTTCTTCCATCATTTGGAAATGGCCAAAAACCAATGATAAACCTAGCAGGACATTGTGATCCATACAGCAACGCTTGCACAAAGTTAACCCCTGACATTAAATCTTGCCAAGCCAAAGGGATCAAGGTGTTGCTCTCAATCGGAGGAGGCTCCGGTAGTTACTCACTTGCATCCTCCCAGGATGCAAAACAAGTAGCAACTTACCTTTGGAATAACTTCTTAGGAGGGCAGTCTCCGTCCCGTCCTCTCGGTCCCGCCGTTCTCGACGGCATCGATTTCGACATCGAAGGAGGAACAAACCTTTATTGGGATGATCTTGCAAAGTACCTTAAAGGATACAGCGAAAATGTGTACTTGACAGCAGCTCCTCAATGCCCTTTTCCTGATGCTTGGATAGGAAATGCCCTCAAAACAGGTCTTTTTGATTGTGTTTGGGTCCAATTCTACAATAACCCTCCTTGTCAATATAGTGGAGGTGCAATTAGCAATCTTGAAGATGCATGGAAACAATGGATATCTGATATTCCAGCCAAGAAAATCTTCTTGGGGCTGCCTGCTTCTCCCGAGGCAGCAGGGAGTGGATTCATAGCTGCAACTGATCTTACTTCTAAAGTGCTTCCAGCAATTAAGGATTCTTCTAAATATGGAGGTGTTATGCTTTGGTCTAGATACTATGATGGTCAGAGTGGATACAGTTCTTCCATCAAGAATCATGTCTAAAATTTAAGCATCTATGAAGATGCATTGTTGTATTATGTAATGTTTAATGTTTATTTATGTTCTAGCCTGTGTATGTAATTAATCAAATATTTTATGTTTATTACAAATTTCTATTCTAAACAAGCTTTCGGTTTTTTTTTTTAGATATGTATTTTACTAAATAAGGGGATTGTTCAACATACTCTTCGGTTTACTCACACCATCTAGTTTTAAAATTCAGATGCAGCAAATATACATAAACTCTCTTGAAACAATGTATACTAGGTTTGTTGGGGTTTTCAATTGTTATGTAGTAAAATATGAGATTAATCTAACTTTATTTGATCCATATGGAAGATGAAGAATTCAATTATTTTTGCTATCCCACTGTTTGCTGGATTTTTCGACGTGTCTTTCTTTTCAAGGTAATCAAGAAAGAATTCAGATGAGTTTGAAAATATTAGATGTTTTCGACAAATTTATTAAGGCTTGTTTCGAAAGACTAGTTTGAAAAAATATATTGAAGTTCCTACATGCACATTAATGTTTTGAGACTTAGCGAATTTGAGATTTGATTTGGACGTTGTTTTGACTATGAAAGTTTGAAATTCGAAAATAGGCTGGAATAACTGTTTTTTGGCCTTATCTATTTTTGAGGACGTGTGGAAGTGAATCAAAGACAAGATACATGCAACCGACAACGTGCCCGATTTTGAAGAAAAGACCGTTCGAGATGGTTATTTCGATTTTAGTATAAATAGGAGTTCTAGAACTAGATTTCGGTGTTCAATTGTATACAAAACTCATATTACTCAAAGTATATGGCGAATTGAGAAAAGAGTTACAACTGAATGAAATGTAGGGGTGTTCGCGGGCCGGTTTGGAGAGAATCTGATCAAAATTATATGGATTGGTTTGGATTAGATTTGCAAATTTTGGCGATAAAGCCCAAACCGAACCGAACCGAGAAACAACGGATTGGTTTGGGTTGGATTGATCGGGTAGATAAAAAATGCAAAAATATTTTTAAAAAATAACTTATTTACATAAATTATTTTTTTATAATAGTATAAAAAAATAGAATTAATAATGTTTAATCATAAATATTAGACTAGCAATTTTTCCCTAATAGATTCTAAAATATATCATAAGAAAAATATATAACATCAAGGCTTCTGAATCTATAATTAGTCACTTGAGTTAGTTTGATAATTAATGTGTTTCATGACTCTACACTCAATACACTAACAATTTTCTAATAACAAATTAAAATAGAATAACATGTCCACGTACGACATTTCACCTTTTCTTCTTGAACTTGAATGATTGGTGGTAATTTTTATTATAATTAATTATGATTGGTTTGGATTGAGTTTGTAGGTAGAAAATTGAAAATCTGATGTCCGAATCAATTATCATTGGATTTCATTGGTTTGGTTCGGTTTTTGCCCGAACTGAAAAAATACCCAACCCAAACACTATGGTTTGGTTCGGATTCCGTTTTTGGTTCGGATTTACTCGAACCAATGAACACCCCTAGTGAAATGTACGTATGAAATCTCATTCTTTACTTAATGCAAAGTCACGCTCTTTAAGTTATTTTTCTGCATTTTCGTTATTATGTGGAAGTCTTTTATGTTTATTTTCTCTTTACAAATCGTTTTCATATTCTCTTGAAGATTCGTTTCACATTGAAATATTTATTTTCAAATACAAATTACAACAACTTAAATTTTTTTTATGCACATACGTCCTAGGATCAATCTAGTCGATCCTACAAGCAACTAGATTATCATTTGAAAGACTAGCGATTGTTTATGAAATTTCTCCGTACATAAATTGACACGTCCAGTGGGACACTTGTGCTAAAAGTTTGTGTATTTTTTTCGAATTTGCATGTTCTTCATTTTTAAACTTCTCATACACTGAGTGCATGCGATTAAGGATTGGGAAGATAGCCAAAAATAACGTGACAGTATCAAAAAGGAGATACGTTAGGAAAATGGCAAAACCCAAGAATAACAATGGATAACAACCCCCTATTGCGACAGGGGAAGGCACCATTGCTGCGAATGCGATCGAAGCGATTCCTTCTACAACGAGTATGACAACTATACCGTCAATCGCACATAGTGGTGCAATATTGTCCCTATCAATAACACAGAGTCACCCGTTGACTCCAAGGCCTAGTGAGTCTAGTGATTTCAGGTCTTACATGCCCAGTTTCACAATGCCTACGAATGGTCATGAACAACCTTATGAAATGCCAACTTCGATAATGCAAGTTTGCACAACAATCCACCAACGTTTACTGACCCAACGGTGACCATATATTCTCCATTACAAGGGTCGGGATCAGCCGCAAATAATTTTGGTCGAAATACCTAGTTTTTGGGAATGGCATTCCCATCCTAAGCAATGCATACATTCACTATGAGTTCAATGAATATTTTGAGGCAACAAAGACAAAAGTAACCTTGCATTGGTGAATCTGCTTACTTGACAAATGGGTACCATATTCAACCCTTTGATATGGAGTACGACGCAAAGTAATCAATAACTAGTGATTAAGATGACGCGAATTATGGATTTCTTTGGTTCCCCTCGGGCACAAATTCAACCATTTGTGCAACCACAACCTGTTAGGCCTATCTGAAATGAGGAAATGATCCTTGAAGAAACCGTTAACTAGGTCTAGCAGTGTATTTCCCAAGTGGTCGAACAACGGGCCCGATTCTGAAGAAAAGACCGTTCGAGATGGTTATTTCGATTTTAGTATAAATAGGAGTTCTAGAACTAGATTTCGGTGTTCAATTGTATACAAAACTCATATTACTCAAAGTATATGGCGAATTGAGAAAAGAGTTATAACTGAATGAAATGTAGGGGTGTTCGCGGGCCGGTTTGGAGAGAATCTGATCAAAATTATATGGATTGGTTTGAATTAGATTTGCAAATTTTGGCGATAAAGCCCAAACCAAATCGAACCGAGAAACAACGGGTTGGTTTGGGTTGGATTGACCGGGTAGATAAAAAATGCAAAAATATTTTTAAAAAATAACTTATTTACATAAATTAATTTTTTATAATAGTATAAAAAAATAGAATTAATAATGTTTAATCATAAATATTAGACTAGCAATTTTTCCCTAATAGATTCTAAAATATATCATAAGAATAATATATAACATCAAGGCTTCTGAATCTATAATTAGTCACTTGAGTTAGTTTGACAATTAACGTGTTTCATAACTCTACACTCAATACACTAACAATTTTCTAATAACAAATTAAAATAGAATAACATGACCACGTACGACATCTCACTTTTTCTTCTTGAACTTGAATGATTGGTGGTAATTTTTATTATAATTAATTATGGTTGATTTTGATTGAGTTTGCGGGTAAAAAATTGAAAATCTGATGCCCGAACCAATTGTCATTGAATTTTATTGGTTTGGTTCGATTTTTACCCGAACTGAAAAAATATCCAACCCAAACACTATGGTTTGGTTCGGATTCCGTTTTGGTTCGGATTTACTCGAACCAATGAACATCCCTAGTGAAATGTACGTATGAAATCTCATTCTTTACTTAATGCAAAGTCACGCTCTTTAAGTTATTTTTCTGCATTTTCGTTATTATGTCAAAGTCTTTTATGTTTATTTTCTCTTTACAAATCATTTTCATATTCTCTTGAAGATTCGTTTCACATTGAAATCTTTATTTTCAAATACAAATTACAAAAACTTAAAAAACTTATATGCACATACATCATAGGATCAACCTAGTCGATCCTGCAAGCAACTAAATTATCATTGAAAGACTAGCGATTGTTTATGAAATTTTGACGTACATAAATTGACACGCTCAGTGGGACACTTGTGCTAAAAGTTTTTGTATTTTTTTTCGAATTTGCATGTTCTTCATTTTTAAACTTCTCACACAGAGTGCATGCGATTGAGGATTGGGAAGATAGCCAAAAATAACGTGACAGTATCAAAAAGGAGATACGTTAGGAAAATGGAAAACCCCAAGAATAACAATGGATAACAACCCCCTAATGCGACAGGGGAAGGCACAGTTGCTGCGAATGCGACCGAAGCGATTCCTTCTACATCGAGTATGACAGATATACCGTAAATCGCACAGAGTGGTACAATATTGTCCCTATCAATAACACAGAGTCACTCGTTGACTCCAAGGCCTAGTGAGTCTAGTTATTTCAGGTCTTACATGCCCAGTTTCACAATTCCCACGAATGGTCATGAACAACCTTATGAAATGCCAACTTCGATAATGCAAGTTTGCACAACAATCCACCAACGTTTACTGACCCAACGGTGACCACATATTCTCCATTACAAGGGTCAGGATCAGCCGCAAATAATTTTGCTCGAAATACCTTGTCTTTTGGAATGGAATTCCCATCCTAAGCAATGCATGCATTCACTACGAGTTCAATGAATATTTTGAGGCAACAAATATGAAAGTAACCATGTAATGGTGAATCTGCTTACTTGACAAATGGGTACCATATTCAACCCTTTGATATAGAGTATGACACAAAGTAATCAATAACCAGTGATTAAGATGACGCGAATTATGGATTTCTTTGGTTCCCCTCGGGCACAAATTCAACCAGTTGTGCAACCATAACCTTTTAGGCCTATCCAAAACGAGGAAATGATCCCTGAAGAAACTGTTAACTAGGGCTACAAGTGTATTTCCCAAGTGGTCGAACAACAAATTTCTAGAATGGCCTAACAAACAATACCTAGAGAAGTTGAGCGCCCGCGAGTCATTTTGGTTAATCGAGACTAGGGTGCGGACCAAGTGGTCCTTCGAGTTCACTAAGATGACATAGCGGGAGAAAACAATCTTGTTACCATGGTCGAAAGGATAACGACACGGAATAAGATGAATGTAGGCCTTCGCAAGCCTAACTATGTCTCCCCATTATCAGAATATGTCTTATAAATAGAACTCCCTAGAGGATGGAAAGTCCAAAAGTTCACTAA